TGTAGAAGTTGAATATCAAGAAACAAGATTGAAGACCAAACGTGTATCTCACAATATCTCAAGTAGCAAAGGATGTTTTCTCTGGATATAGGAGAATTATGTTGGCAGTTGTTTCCTTTCAGCACTTTGAAAATGTAGTTCCACTGTTTCTTGTCTTCCACTGTGGTTTATGAGACGTGGGCTGTCGATCTGCCCACTGAGCCCTTTTGCAAACTGTCTTCTTGTCATTGACTTTATGCATTTCCAGCCCTTGTTTTATGCAGCTTTGTTTTTATTTTTCCAGCTAGTGAATCATTGGAATTATTGAATTTATGGCATGATGTCTTTTTCCAGTTCTAGAAAATTCTAGGCCACTGCCCTTGTATCTCCTTTCCTTCTGGTGGTGCCCATCACACCTGTGTCTGGTTGTCTCACTGGTTCCCTTTATGTCTCATACTTTTTCTTCTATATCTCCCATATTTTTGTCTCTGCCCTAAATTCTGGATTTTGTCTCTGCCCTAGTTTCTTCTGTCCTGTCATTTAGTTATAATTCACTAACTCTTTCTTAATTGCATCAAATCAGCTCTTAAATCTGCCCAGTTAGTTCTTAATTTATCATTTATTTGGTTTTTTATCATTCTATTTATTTGGCTCTTTTTTTTTTTTTTTTTGAGACAGAGTTTCAAGCTGTCATCACCCTCAGTAGAGTGCCATGACTTCAGCTCACAGCAACCTCAAACTCTTGGGTTTAAATGATTCTCTTGCCTCAGCCTCTCGAGTAGCTAGAACTACAGGCACCTTCCATAACAGCCAGCTATTTTTTGGTTATAATTGTCATAGTTGTTTGGCAGGCCTGGGCTGGATTCGAACCTGCCAGCTTCAACTCCGATAGTTAGTGCCCTAGCCGCTGAGCTACAGGTGCTGAACCTATTTATTTGGCTCTTTAAAAATGTCTTTTCAATTTTCTTTATTATTTATTTTTAATTTTAATAGATTGAAGTGGTACAAGTTGAATTACATTACATGTATAAGTTGTATAGTGATAAAATGTCTTTAAACAAAATTATTTCCATGCTAATTGGTTTTAAGCCTTTCTCCCCCCAATTCTTTTATGGTGGTAAAATACACATAACATAAAACTCACCACCTTAACAATTTTCAAGTGTACAGTTTGTAATATTAAAGTACATTATCATGTAACCATCACTAGCATCTAGTCACAGGACTCCTTATCCTGAAAAGTTGAAATTCTATACCCATTAAACATCAAATCCTCATTCCCTCCTTCCCTCAAGCCCTGGAAACCTCACTCTACTTTCTGTTTCTGTGAATTTGACGACTCCAGGGACCTCATACAAGTGGAATCATGTAGTGTTTGACTTTTTGTGACTGGCTTATCTGACTTAGCATAATCTCTTCAAGGCCCACTCACACTGTAGCATATGTCAGTATTTTTTTACTTTTACAGCTGAATAATATTCCATGGCATGGATGTGCCCCATTCTGCTCACTTGTTTATCCTCAGTGGACACGTGGGTTACTTCCAGTTTTTAGGTAGTGTGAATAATCATGCAATGAACGTGAGTACAGAAATACCAATCTCAAGAGCTTGCTTTCAAGTAGGCACGGTGGCACAGGTTGTGGGATCACTTGAGCCTAAGAATTTAAGATCAGCCTAGGTAACATAGTGAGAGTCCATCTCAAAAAAAAAAAAGCAAAAAAAAAAAGCCTTGCTTTCAGTTATTTTGGTTATATACCCAGAAGTAGAATTATTGGATCATATGGCAATTCTATTTTTTTTTTTTGAGACAGAGTCTCACTATGTAAAGTGAGAGTCTCACTATGTACTGAGTCTGCCGTCAGTAAAGTGCTATGGTGTCACAGCTCACAGTAGGCTTAAGTGATTCTCTTGGCTCAGCCAAGTAGCTAGGACAACAGGCACCACCACAGTGCCCGGCTATCTATATAAGAGACAGGGTCTTGCTCTGGCTCAAGCTGGTCTCAAGCCTGTGAGCTCAGGCAATCCACCCTCCTCAGCCTCCCAGAGTGCTGGGATTACAGGTGTGAGCCACTGTGCCCAGCCTCTATTTTTAATTTTTGAGAACCCCCCTCACTGTTCTTTGCAATGGCCGTCTGTACCATCTTACCTCCCACTACCAGTGCACAGCACACATATTCTCATTTCTTCACACCCTCACCAACACTTATTTTCTGGGGTTTTTACAGTAGCTGCCCTGCTGGGTGTGAGGTGGTACCTCAGTGTGGTTTTGGTTTATGTCTCCCTGATGAGGAGAGATTTGCGCATCCTTTCACATGCCTATTGGCCATGTATGTGTCTTCTTTGGAGAAATGTCTATTCACATCCTTTGTCCATTTTTAAATCAGATTTTTTATTGTTGAGTTTTAGGAGTTCTGTCCTACAATAAGGACAGAACAGGGACAAAACAGGGAATCTGGGGGGTATTAATCCTGTATCAAATATATAAGTTGTAAATATTTTAGGAGATCTGTATCAAATATATAAGTTGTAAATATTTAGGAGTTCTGTCCTAAAACAGGTGCAGAACAAGGACAAAACAGGGAATCTGGGGGGCATTAATCCTGTATCAAATATATAAGTTGTAAATATTTTCTCCCATTCTGTGGGTTTTACTCTGCTAATAATGTTTTTTGATGCAGAAAAGTTTTTAACTTTCGTGAAGTCAAATGTGTCTATTTTTTCCTTTTATCACCTGTGCCTTTGGTGTCATATCCAAGAATTAATTGCCAAATCCAATGTCATGGAACTTTTTGTCCTATGTTTTCTTCTAGGAGTCTTGTAGTTTCAGTTCTTAATATGGAGGTCTTTGCTGTGTGTTGAGTTAATTTCTGCACATGGTGTAAGGGAAGGGTCCAACTTTATTACTTCACATGCAGATGCCCAGTTTCCCAGCATCACTTGTAGAAATGACCGTCCCTTCCCTATTAAAATCATTTTATTTCATATGTAGGAGAGGGTTTCTGCTCTGTATTCTGTTCTGCTGGTCTGTGTGTGTCTGTTTATGCCAGTTCTGTACTGTTTTGATTACTGTACTCTAGCTTTGTAGTTTCAGTTCTGACATCTGGAAGTGTGAGTTCTCCAACTTTGTTCTTCCTTTTCAAGATTGTTTTGACAATCTGAAATTCTGAAGTTTGCATTTATTTCTTTGAACCTAGTTATTTTATAGTTTGAGTCTGATACCTCCCATGTCTGATTCCTCTTTTTTCTGCTTATTCCTGGTGGGGGCATCTTGTTGCTGTGTGTGCCTAATTATCTTTGACTGTGTCCTGGATTTTGTATTTGAAAAATTGTTGTAGGGTGACTTGAGCCGTTTTCCTCCAGAGAGGGCTTTTCTTGCTTCTGCCTGGAAGGCAGGGAAGCTGCCTATCTGGGACCACCATAGTCCTAGGCCCAGGCCTGGAGTACCCTGGACTGCTCTGGAGGGCTGGGATAGGCATCCTCATGAGGACCACTCACTTTTGGTTCACCCTAGCTGGGAAGGGGAATCCTTGCGGTCCTAACTTAACTGCAGGCTTATCAAGCCCCTGTCTAAACTGGCCTCAAGTTTGGACATTTATCCTCTTCTCCTTGATGAAACTACTAAAACTGCAGATCCTTTTTTGCAGCTATTACTTCTAAATCTGTAAATGTACTCAGGGAAAAGCAATTCTGAGTGCTGGGCTTACTTCCTAGCAGGGGTGTCCAACCTTTTTTTTTCCTGCTATACACTGGAAGAATAAGAGTTATTTGGGGCCACACATTAAATTCACAAACACTAACAAAACTGGTGAGTAATTAAAAAGGTCCATGTGTGCTCTTCACAAATATCCAGCACCACAGATAAGCAAAGCAAATGGTCAGCATGTGGCCTGCGGGCAGCAGGTTGGCCATCAAGACAGCCTTCTTTGTTTTCCATTTCGAATAAAAACCTCCTTACTCACCTGTTTTCTCTTTGGTGCTTTTAAGAAGAGAGATGCATCTACCTACCTTTTTTTTCTGATCTGAATTACATAGCATACCCTCACCCAGAGAAAGGTCTGGAGGCCCTTCCTAACTGCAGGGCTCTGATGGGAGTAACAACTCTGTAGAGGCAGGGGGACACAGCCACTGGATCTGAACGCGCTCAGGCTGCCACAACAAAATGCCACAGTGTGAGCAGCTAGTAGAAAACAGAAGTTTCTGTCACACGGTTCTGGAGACTGGAAGCCCAAGATCAGGCGCTGCCAGGTTTAGACTGGCTCACAGATGGCACCTTCCCACCATGTGGCAGAGACAGCTCACTGAGGCCCCTGTCATTAGCTCTCTGACCCCACTCATGAGGCCTCCACCTTTATAACCTGCTCGCTCCCCAAAGGCCCCACCTCCTCACACTGCCACTTTGGGGATGTGGTCTCAACATGTGAAGTTGAGGGGTCTGAGGGCGCAGACATTCAGACCTTAGCAGCTGGCATCAGCCCCAGAGCACAGGAAGGCCAGCAGCTAATCAGCCCCATGGGTGCACAGCCAGGGAGTGGCAGAGGCAGGAATGAGCGAAGTGTGTCTGGCTGCAGGGAGGCTTCTCAGCTTCCTTGGGAGCTTCCGGGCATGGTGAGGAAGCCTTCATGTAGCAGGTGGCCCTGCCCAACCCCATGTTCAATGTGGGCTGCTACTTACTGCCCATGCCTGGCTGGGTATCAGTGCTCTGCCCTACCCTCCACAGGGCCCACACAGGGGCTCACCAGCACATAGCGGCTGCACAGGGCTGGGCACTCGGCAGATCCAGCAGGGTATCAGCTGCAGATTGCAAATCGGAGCCTGTGCCCCAAGCACATTCATGTCTGAGAGGGGGTGCGGCAGGGCCAAGTGGCTCTTATCAGGTGCTGGGGACTGTCAGGGCATCCTGGGAATGCCCTGCCCAAGGCAGGCTCACCCTTGGGGGATGACTAGGGGGGGAGGCTGGGAAGGCAGCAGCCCACCACCTGCCCACCACCCGTCAGGCCCTCTCTGACTCTCTGCCTCACAGGTGAACAATAACGGGATCATCTCCTTCCTGAAGGAGGTCTCTCAGTTCACCCCAGTGGCCTTCCCCATCGCCAAGGACCGCTGTGTGGTGGCGGCCTTCTGGGCAGATGTAGACAACCGGCGTGCAGGCAATGTCTACTACCGGGAGACCACCAACCCTGCCACGCTGCGCCGGGCCACGGAGGATGTCAGGCGCTACTTCCCTGAGCTCCTGGACTTCTCCGCCACCTGGCTATTCATCGCCACCTGGTACCGAGTCACCTTCTTTGGAGGCAGCTCCTCTTCTCCTGTGAGTTCTGGCTTTTGTCCTGGGGGGGTGGGGGAGCAGGAGGAGATGCCCAGCTGGGGCCCACCTTGCTGAGGCCAATCAGGCACATTCTCTGGTCTATACCCAAGGAGGGACCAGCTCAGGAACAGAGGTCACTCAGCTAAGATCACAGGGCCTCAACCCCCTGTCCCTCAGCTCTCCTAGAAACACCAAGGGCCCCAAAACAGCAGCTCATGATTAGGGAGATGCATGTGGGCTGATGGCTATGGGTAGAGCTTTCATTTGGAATGGCCCAGAACTCAAAGGGGTAAATTGCAAGTTACCTTTTATACTTTATTTCTTGATAATGCCAAACATAACAGAAAGGTTAACTCGATAATCAACTGCTTTGCCAGCGTAGAAAGTCTTGGAGGCTGACACTCCCTAATGAGGGCGGCAGCTGCCTGCTCCAGTGACAGAAGTGCCACCAGGCCAAGCACCTGCTACATCTAGGCCTGCACTGGGCTCCCTAGAAAAGAGACAGGGGGTGCACATCAGCCGTTGCCAGGCCTGTTTGTTCATGCATTTGATAAACACCCTAAGGGCACCTTCTGGGTGGCAGACTAGTGCTCTGGGCATTGGGGCTACAGCCCTGGACAAAGCAGACAGGACACCTCTGGCTTGTGGGGCACACAAAGGAGTAACGTGGATGGCCATGTGACACAGGTGCTGGCATCGGGAAGTGCCCTGAAGCCCAGCCCAGCCCAGCCATGCAGCACTCTCAGGAGCAGGTTCATTAACAGAAATTGGACAGCTCAGTGTCAGGCATCTCCTCACAGTGCCCCTGAAATTTGACCCTCACCAGCTCCTGAAGCCTCCTATTGGCCTTACTGAGTGTTGCCCTCCCCCAGGCTTTCCCACCAACCTCCTTTCACAGCCATGCTCCTGGCACAGGTCCACGTGCTAGTGCTTACATTTGTTTGCCTAAATTAGAGCGTGTAGTCCCCGATGGGAGCTTCCGTGTATGTGAGAACGTGCACTGTGTGGTTGCCTGGCTCGCCGAGGACTGCCAGCCCAGTGCCAGGTGGGACCCAGATCCATGACCGGCCAGCCCCAGAGCAGCACTGCAGGACACTCACGATGGTGTCCTCGCACACGTTTCTAGAAGGGAGAGGAGACTGCTGCCTCAGCTCCAGTTTTCCTCTTACACATGTGCACACTCACACTTGCATAAGCCACATTCAGAAGTGTCCATTTCCGTGCTCCCCAACTATCATTTTCCTTCCCTGCCGACTACATAGGCAAAAAAACAAGGATGCAACTTTTTTATCCTTACACACCTTTGATTTCTAGAGGCCCTGATTTGTTCCAGCATCTTTGGCTAGCTGTATTCTATTGTGATGTGTCTGAGCAGGCCCTTTTTCAGCTCAATCACTAATACTGTTGGTCTTTTTCTTACTGATCTGTAGTTCTTCTCAAATTAAGGATATCGATAGTTTTATCTGCCATGTGTGTCATAAACAATTTTCACTTTGCTGTTTGCTATTCAGTTTGAAATTATGGCATTTTTTAATATCCAGAAAATTTTCATAATCAAGTGTATAAATCTCCCTTTTAGTTTTGGTTGTTAACAGACATCACATTTAAAAGTCCTTTTTCCTTCCTGAGCTGCATCTATTTGCTTGTATTTTCTTCTAGGACTTCTATGGTCTCATGCTAAAACTGTACTTGATTTGGGATTTATTTTCATGTGTGGTGTAAGGCAGGCCTCTGATCTAATTCTTTTTCAGATAGTTTTCTTTTCTTTTTTTTTTTTTTTTTCTTGAGACAGAGTCTCAAGCTGCCGCCCTGACACAGTGCTGTGGTGTCACAGCTCACAGCAACCTCTGGGCTTAAGCGATTCTCCTGCCTCTGCCTCCCAAGTAGCTGGGACCACAGGCACCTGCCACAACGCCTGGCTATTTTTTTGGTTGTAGCGTCATTGTTGTTTTGGCGGGTCTGGGCTGGGGATTCGAACCCACCACCTTAGGTGTACGTGGCTGGCGCCTTAGCCGGTTGAGCTACAGGCGCCGAGACTTTCAGTTAGTTTTCTATTTGTTCCAAGATCATTCCTAAGTTACCCTAACTCTTTGTCCCAATTTGATATGGCATGTCTTATTCATATACTGTCCACCAACATTTTCATGGAGAAAAATTCTGAGAAAACCTAGTTATTAAAAATTGCTTTTCCTTGGTTCTTCTTTTATCTTTCCTTTTTTAATGTTTTTGTTCATTTCACCCACGAGATTTTGTGGATTTGGGTGAGTGAGCTCTGAGCCCTGGAGGGCCCCTTCGGTGGGCTTCGCTCCCTTGGCCAGGCACCAATGTGGGGGGCAGGGGAGGGCCAGTGTGGGAATGGCTGGCCCTGGGACACAGAGGACAAGGCCATCAGGATCCAGCCTTGGCTGACTATCCGGGGTGGGAGACAGACATTGAGCAAGTCATCGGCTAGGAGATGATGACAGTGCACAGGGACAGTGGCCAGGGAGGGCCTGGGCAGGACGGGGCGCAGGACCCTGTTCAGCCCTCTCCTCGGCAGGTCAACACGTTCCAGACCGTGCTCATCACCAACGGCAAGTCCTCCTTCACCATCTTCAACTATGAGTCCATCGTGTGGACCACAGGCACACACGCCAGCAGCGGGGGCAATGCCACTGGCCTGGGGGGCATTGCAGCCCAGGTGGGTGGGTGCAGGGCTGGTGCTCAGTGTGTGTGTGTGGGGGGGGATGTCCTGTTTCCAGGATTGTCATGAGCTGATGAGCTAAGCAGGGGTCATTGTAAGCAGACCTCCTCCCTGTACTATACAGAGATGAGCATGAGGTGTCCACTGCACCCTGGGGTTGCTTGCTGCTCAGAATCACAAAAACCACCACACCCAAAGTATCTGTGGCCCCTGATGCTCCTTGCCCTAACCCCGCGGTCCCTGGTTAATAGCTGCTAACCTTAACCCTAACCCTAATCCAACAGAAATGGCCTCAGCTCTGTGTGCGTTGATTGGGGAGGCTGTGGCCGACAGGAAATCCCAGGTGTGGAAGGAGTGAACTGGGGAAGTGGCCGGCCGCAGGGCTCGTGCCTTCAGGCTGTACACACCCCGCCACCCACCACCTGGCCATCTACTTTTCCTGGGGTCCTGCTTTCCCCAGCCCCAAGGAAGGACTGGATGTGGGGCTAGCTGCTGGAGAGGTGGGAGCCAGGGCCAAGGCTCCCCACGGCCGAGCAACTGCTGGTTGTGCCCAGGACCTGGCTGGGAGGTGGCTGACCCCAGCCGGGATATAGCCGGTAGGGAGCTGTAACCTCTGAAAGTGGAACCAACCGCCTACCTCGCTCTCCCCGCCTCCAGGCCGGCTTCAACGCGGGCGACGGGCGGCGCTACTTCAGCATCCCCGGCTCGCGCACAGCGGACATGGCCGAGGTGGAGACCACCACCAACGTGGGCGTGCCCGGGCGCTGGGCGTTCAGAATCGATGATGCCCAGGTGCGCGTGGGGGGCTGCGGCCATACAAGTAAGAGGACCGAGCGAGCGGCTCCGGGAGGGGAGGGGGAGGGCCTGAGAGGAGGGGCGGGATGCCGCGGGAGGGAAGGGCCTCGCTGGCCCACCTCGGCTCAGGCGCACGAACTTGAGGGAGTCCTGCCTGTCCCTGAGCCTCTGATTCCCTCAAGCCTTCTTCGTGCCTTAGGTCTGAGCGGGGTGGGGTGTAGAGTTCTGGGTCCTCGCGAGAGGAGGCCGGGGACGCCTCTCATTGGGGACTGCCGTTAACGCCGACCCCATGTCTCAACCCAGCCTCTGGCCTGGGGTCTCTCGGAGCCTCCGGACCACCTGGGAGGCAGGTGCTCTCGCGCCAATCCCCCACCTCTGCTGCGGGCGTGCTGGTTGTGAGATTTGATTGACAAACCGGAGCATCACGTCGAGGCGGCAGCGCCAGGGGCCCTTCTGCCTAGACCGCGCGAGCACGTGGGGGTGGGATCCGGGCCGAGCATGTGGTCCGTGGGTCCGTAGGAAGAGCGCGGGTCCTGCACAGCCTTGGGGCGTCAAGGAACCTTCTGAAACATCGCTACTCGCAAACGGGGCAGGGGGCGCCCCGCGATGGACCCAGCGGCTCCGCTGGGGCCTGCCCGACTCACCTTCCTGCCCACAGGCTCCGAGGCCACTGAGAGGGCTGCTCCTCCCTCTCAGCGAACACAGCACGTGAAGATCCGCGGGGGGGGGGGG